TGCACTTTATGTTCTGCTCTGAGTGAGAGACCAGGGTTGGGTGCTTGTTTTTAGCGAAGCTTTGTGCTCACCCCCTTTTCCCTCGAGCATCAGCAGCTAATGCAGCAGGGCCAGCAGCCCCTGCCCTGCTCTGGCAGAAGAGTCTGTGTCAGCCATTTTAATTATTACTTACACTCATCTTAAACTTGTGAAGGACACAAGGCAGCTTGCCTCTATCTTAGCCAATAACTCTTTTCTACCTGCTCTAAAGAGCCCGCAGGCCTGCCGTGTCCACCCCTCTGTCCTGATGCAGTCCACCAGGAAGAGGTTCAGACATACAAGGTGGAAAGGCCTTGGTGGAAATGTGGATTATAACCTGTTTTCTCTGCTCTCCTTCTCTCTTTTCTGGCCAACAAGCAAGCATTCAGTGCATTGTGCTTGTGCAGCAGAGGTAGAAGAAAAAGACAGTGAGAGCAGGGGTGCAGAGCAGCTACCTTGGACCTGGCTGCTAATGGGAAGCTCCATTACCTGTTCGTTACCTGTAATTAACCTTCCGCTAAGGTGAATGCCTCGCTCAAAGGAAGAAAAACTGTTAGAGGTGTTCATGCCCTCTAGAATTACATACATAGTTCAGTAGAACTGAAGATGTACTTGATGGACAGTTATAGTCTTGGGGTGTTTATTTTCGTCTGTTTTTAAGAGACCAGCTTCTGAACGTTTACTACACTATGCTGTTAAAACCACAACCTGAAAACCCAACCTGGCAGTTCCTCACAGAAGAGAGGATCCTCAGCCAGGAGGAATTCAACTGTAGAGTGACCATGGGATTTCACAGCTGGGATTTTTCAGTGCAATACAAATCAGCTTTTTGTTCTCAAGATTTTAGGCTGTGAAAGTTACCAAGCAGGAGAGAGTGGCTGCCGAAAAAATTCTCCATTCTGCTGCCATTCTGCTACAGTCTGCTTTGTGCCAACATATTCCAGCAGCGCATGTGCGATAGCCATCAAACCAGTTGAATTTTCCCTGATGAAGGCATTTTGTGTATTTGTTGTGAGATTAGATGCTGCACAATATTCATAAAGATCCGCCTTGCCAGTGTAGTGGAATCGCATATCTCCAACCATGCTTCAGTGAGCAACAGGCAGTGGCTTTTTTTTTTCCTGTGTGAATTGCTGCTGTGAGAGCTGGGTGTTTATTTCCACTGAGCCTATGAAAGAGAGCTGAGCTTTTGCAAATTATTAAAGCCTAAGAGCATATAAGGTGTAAATATCAGTAATATTTAACTGTCCTTCAGGTCCTTTTTATCTCTGTGAATTTATAAGGTTTCACCATGAAAGAGAGATGGCTGGCTTACAGTTATTAAAGTACAGTAAATAAGCATCTTTTTCATCACCGTGGATCTACAGACCAAACCAGCAAGAGTGGCTCATCATCATCATGCTGTGAACATGAACAAAAGAGGAGCAATGCAACAGATGGGGCCAAACAGCCCATGTGATACTGGCAATAGTACATCCCATGTATAGTACATCCCATCCCATGTAAGGAACCAGGTTTGCAAGAGAAAAGTTCAGCCTGGAAGTTCTGACAGATCGTAAACTACTGAATTTGAGATGTGTAGAGTGTGAATCCTGGCCCTATGGCAGTGGTCAAAGGAAGATGAGATGGCAATCTCGGATTGGATGTGAGTAACAGTTGTAATCAATGTTGATCCTTGATGACCCCAAGTCTTCTCTATTTTTTTATCCCTAATTTATCAGGCAGCTTTGGTAGGAAAACTACAAAAAAGGGGGGAAGGGAGGAATAATTAGGAAATAATTCCTTAACCTTTAAACTATTCTTACACAGGAAGCACTGCTAGCCTTTTTTTCACATGGGAAAACATATCTCCACTGTAGCCACCCATTTTTTCCAAGAAATGATTTTAATAAAGGTTTACATATTTTAGTTAATTACCTTCTTTAATGTTTAGACAAACACCTTTTCAAAATTTGAATATGAAAAGATAGCTGCTATTAGACATCAAAGATGTAGCCCCTCGTTAATACTAGAAGGGTTAAGAAATCAGGCTGTGTAAGGCGATCGTTCACCTCTCATCAGGAGATTCTACAATGGACCTGCTTAAGTGGCTTACAGCCTCTTCTAGGATACTAGAAATATGCAATTTTAAAAAAATGAACGTTTAACATCTTTTATCACATCTCATATCTAAAGCAGAGAAGGATTAGTCTTATCCGTTACAGTTTAATAAGTTTGACCCAAATTGAGGAAGCGTGATGATGGTCTTTTCTGCGCTGCCTAGACGTACTGCTGATCTAACTGCAGGGAAATTGCACTTTCCACCTAAACTTCATCTAAGTGCTGTATTTACAGCTCTGTATGAGACAGAGAAAAGCACCCCTCTGCTGAAACTGGCCGTCCCTTCCTGGCTGTAGGCAGAGGCAGTGCCACCTGAAACACTCCATGGAGAAGTACAACATACGCAGCCTGAGAAATGCCTAGCTACCGCAGATGGCGTGGCTTGAAAATTTTGCACTCTCCATCACACTTCTGTTTAGAAGACAAGGAGGTTGACTACGGGCACAAGGGATGTCTGTTCCAATTGGTTGCCCAACACCACCACCGAAGTTATTTTCAGAGGAAGCAGAACTATCCCAGACTGCTCCTTTCTCTAGCCCTGAGAGTTCACGTTAGCTGTGAGGGACTGCAGCATCTAAACAGAGCGGGCAGCTTGGTAAGAGCTGGAGCCTCCTCAAAAGGAACATAACGCACTGCTGTACTTTGCTCGTTTGGATTCTGTCTGTCCCTACCTATCAAAAATAAATTACAAATAAGAAAAAGATGGTGTAAGTATACATAACTCTTCTTTCTTTGTGAAGCCATGCCGAAGGTGCTTGTTTCTGTTTGTTTGTTTGTTTTTCCAAAAAGCATTACTCAGCTGACTAGGTCACAGCTCTTTCCTCTCAACGCAGTCAAATGCTTCAGTAAGTACTGCAGGACAGAATGCTTGATGTCACCACAGACTTGAAGGGTAGTTATATAGGACAAACGACATAAAACGATAGCCTTAATAAACGTATTTCACCTTCTGCTTATGCACATCATCTTAAGTACACAGACACGGACTCAGAAGTTATTTTGACTGAACGTGTAAATCAGTATTTCTCTAACTGTTCTTATCAGTTGCGAATTTTCCATTACATACAGTCTTGGGCTAGCCTGCATAGCAGCTATAGCAGCTGTCGTGCGTATTATCTTGCATTCTATATGCTAAGCCTAGAATTAAGGCTAGAGAAAAAACAAGACGAACTGTTGAGCTTTTTCCTGAAGTCAGTATTTAAATATTCTCTGCAATTCAACTGCAAACTTAGTATTATGGTGTAGTAGCACAAAGTAAGCTTTTCTCTGTTTTGTTACTTAAGGTTGACTTAATTTTACTTTGTTGCAAAACTTTTGTATCTGATTAAGAGTCGTAGCACTAAATACAAATGACTAGAGGAAGTACTTACCTGTTTAATTAGCTGTGATTAGAGACACAGTATGTACAAACTACCCAGGCTGTTTTCTTTCATGAACACAAATATCAACATAAACATATCAAAAGCATGAAAGTATCAACAGCTTATATGAATGATGTTCCTAAACACATTTAAAACCAACTTGAAAGAACTACTCCCATCCTCTGGGAAAATGCAGGCTGTCCAAGCTACAGAAACCTGCTAACACAGATCCCTGCTCAGTTCCAAGAAGCATTACATAAAGGAGGAAACAGCTACAAATTGTCCTTCCAATTTCAGAACCCATAGTTTTCCACCTGTCCTTCAGATGATCTGTATCACATCAGCCAACACGTACCACAAAATAAAATGCTGTTTCCACTTACAGCTTTGTATAGACAAACAGATTCGTTAGGTTAAGTCTAACTGTTGGAAAAAGCCATCTTCAAACTTAAGTTTTCAGATGCTCCTGTATCTGGCTTGAGCTTCCAGCCAGCAGAACTGACGGACTGCTGCCCAGCTAGTTGAACATCTCAACCCTTTGGTCAGAGACCAGAAACACTGTAACCTGGCACGCTGCAGCCAGCTCTGTCTCTCCATCCCCCAATTATCACAAAAACCCTGAGCTTGAACGTGCCTCCCCCAACCAGCCCTGCGGCCATCTCCCTGTGCATTTGCTTCATGTTGCCTCACTATTTCTGCACAGTACTCCCTGTCTCCCTGTTATTTTGAAATTAAAGAAATACATTTTCTCTTTGGCAATTTGGTTTACTGAGGACGATTTTCTTAGCTTTTATGAAACTACCTGGTTCATCAATAAATACCTGTAAACCAGAGCCCATGGGTTATTTGTTGAACCTCAGTGTTTCAGATTGTTTTCATTTTACTACGAGCATTCAATCACAAATAATGGATAAAATGTAGACGAGTAATATGAGCAAGAATCAGTAAGACAGAACTTGTTTTGTCACCAGTTTCTCCTGGCATGTTGTATCAAACCTTTAGAAGAGTTGGGTACGTGTTTGTTTCTTGTAATTACTTCTGAATAGTTCCCAGCATTGGCATTCAGAAATAGTTAACAAAATTGTTTCATATGCTTACTCTGTTAAAATTATGACGAACACTTTTGGTGGCATTCCTTGACAGTCAGGATGAAATTATTTTTGCTGTGAGAGCTTGGTAGTCTTATTCCTTTTGCTGTGCCAACATCAACATTCAACCAGCCACATGGTGAGTTATTTCTGAGGGCAAATCTTGCCAGAAATCTAAACAAAGTCAACAGTGTTTCTTCTCCTTAAACCATCTCACCATGACTCCAGCAAGTGCCAAAGATAGTCCAAGAAAAATCTGGACTACCCACTCTGCTTAGCCATCTCATATAACTGCATGCCAATTCCCAGGGAAGACAAAGCTCCTAAGGAAACAGATAAATGCTGACTTTATTACTCATACAGCAATATCATGTCCTGCTTAACCTGTATTCCAAGGTGACATGAGATGTAGGACAGAAAACAAGAAGACGCATTTCAGTGGAATTAACTTTTATTGAGGGGGGAAAAAAAAAGGTTTACATGTAGTCACAGGTCTTTCCATCCATACTTTCGAACTCCAAAAAGGACTGGAAACAAAACTTGCTTAAATCATTATTGCAATACCAAAAAGTTTTTGTTGTTGTTGTTTAAATGAACAGCAAATTATATAACTAATTGCTATGTTCAATAAATATTTTTCTCCTGCACTGACTGGGGGGAAATATTCAACCAAGTACAATAAAAAAAAAATATGTTTTTTACTGTAGATGTTATCCACTGTGTAGCAATCCAAAAACTTATTTATAAAATACAGTCTTAATTTTCAGTGTACAAGGATCTATTTTCCTGGTCAGCCAAATACCAAATTTTGCTCTAGCTCAAATATTCTACACTCAAAGCAACTACCTGACAAAAAAGAAATCCTCTGGTTCATGACTATCTAAATAAATTTGTCATTACAGGAAAGGCTCAAAGTCGTTATTTGTTTATCAAAGTAATAGGTAAACATTTTAACAGAAAGATTAACGAGTTACTTGGAAATGCAGGTTTATGTTAAAGTATCTGAGTGTATTACATATGACATGCAAGCTTTAAAAATATCATTGCTGTCTTGTAATTAGCTAGGAGTCCAATTGGTTTAAAAACAAAATAGGAATGACTTCCAAAATGTATCAACACTTTGGGTTTTCTATTTCATTTTGCTCAAGATGTTTTACTACACAAAAACTACAACAATTACAATATTTAAGAGTATTACAATAAGAAGGGATGGAAAACAGGAATACTTCAACTGAAGATATGTATACTCTAAATGAACCAAAGTTTTGTAAAATAGCTGGATGGAGAACAAGGGAGGGAGGGAAGCAGTAGGGAAGCTAAGATCTGAACCTTGTATTTAAAAATCATGTCCTCAACTGTAACTCCTCTCATCTTCAATAGCGCCCTGGAAAAAAAAAAAACAGACATCATTACTGTGAACAAACAGTACACATGAACACAAACACTGGAAGTGCCCAGGTTTTTTGTTTTCAGAACTCCCACTGATCGATTATTAGACTAGTAACAAGCCTTATGCTGGCCTGATTCTATTTTTTCCTGTGTATTTACTTACTTGGACTATAGGAACGGGATCTTGATCGTGATCGGTACCGGCTATAGTAAGGCGATGGTGATCGTCTCCTTTAAGGAAAATTAAAAAAGAAAACAAACATCATCATAATGAAAGAAGCCTCATTCACATTTCTTCTACAGAACAAAACCATTTCCTTAGCACTGACAGATTTGGCCAGCATGAAAGAGTTCAGCTTTATTTGGCTGTGGCTTATAGCTGTTTAACAAATGCTTTCACATTTCTCTATCTGATGGGTTTAAAACTATGTGGGTATTTCTACAGAACATTTAATAAACTCTCACTAGCCCTGCAAACACCTAAGTGCTTTTACAGATGCCTACAATTCTTGTTGTACAACATTCTCTGAAACTAGATAACTTTCAAAACAGTCAGATAGCTATGAAATGTCAAGCATTAAAAACCCCCATCTACAAATAACCTCTTCTTTAACAGCACTGTTTGTCAGCTGTTCCTGATTCTATATCCAGTATGGAAAAAGTCCTCTTCCTGTCTGTCCACTACGTTTGCAGAATATATGCTCTACCTTCTCCAGGTAGCAAAATTAACCTCTCACTTAATTATTTAGTATGTAGCTGAATTACCGAGGCACTGAAGATGACAACTAATCTTACCCAAACTATCGTAACAAGACTCTCGAACAAAGCAAGCACATATATCGAATCTTGGTACAAAGAGTCACTTTTTTTTTTGCCACTTAACTTCTCAATTTCCCCCCAAACCCACTTTTCCTACAGAGATAAAATTAAAGTTATGCACCTGTATCTGTAGTCATATTCTTCGTATCTGTCATAACCTCTGTCATACCCTCTATCATAGTAAGAGTCACGGCGACGACCTGCTCCGCCACCACCACCTCCTCCACTGCTATTAGGGAAAAAAAGAGCAGGAAGTACTTCAGATTCTACTCTTCATCAAATTAAATAATTCAGAAACTTTTTCCAGTGTTCTTGTAAATGAGACACTTAAGATGAAGCAATTAATCTAATGATTAAACGTTCAAAGAAAAACATTTAAAATAACACAACAAAACAGATAAAATCAACATCAAGGTTTTCAGGCTAATTCACATCAAAATCAAAGGCAAATGGACAGCCTAATATTTAAGTAAGCTAAAGGTGCCTTAACTGGTTGTGCTGGATGTTTTTTTTTTTAATAACATATTCAATCTTTTAAATAAATAAAAATACAGGAAACTACAGTAGGACTTAATAGTATATTAAGCATATACTGAATCACAGTAACACAATTATATTAATACCTTTGTGAGAAGATACAATTGGCGTAACTCTAAAATTAAAAAAAGAAGTCTGCAGTTCAGTTTTTCAACCAGACTTCAATCGTTCAGTTGAAATTAATTTAATCCCACTGAAGGAAATGAGCAAACTCCTTACTGTGTTGGCCTGCCCATGTAGATGCCTGGAGTGGGTGTATGTGCTCTCTTGGTGATTGAGTAATCCACCCGAATCCTCCTGCCATCCAGCTCCATACCGTTTGCATGCTCCATTGCCTGCAGGAAAGAGAAGGGACGGTGGACGTGAAACCTACAACCCACTAAGGAAAACTGTGTGCAAAACACACTATTTTCTGTTAGAGAAACAAGCCCCGACCTTGTTTTATTTAGCCTGGTTACTAGTGCCCCACTGTGGCGAATGGCTGGTCTCTGTCCCCCGGCCCGTCCGCCAGCAGTGCTACAGGGCTGCACTGGGGCGCGGGAGCAGCGTGCCACGCAATCCCTTTCTAAGAAAGCACAGGGCTACCCACTAACACAGTCAATTTCTTTGTAGGGGACTTCGCCTACCAGCCCATCAGAAAGGTAAACAAAGTCCAAGCAGCTTTTCCTGAAAACTGCATCTTTCCTAGCGCCGTCCCTGACCCAGAGGGGATGGGCGGATTCAAAAGCTGTGCAAAACAGTGGCTTCCTGTAGGGTGCATATGGCCGGATTACTGCTAGTCGGCTGCCATTTCATGCTCTCCCAGCCTCCTGCCATCTCCCTTACAAGGACCTACTCCAGCAGAGCTTAGTAAAATGGCGGGTTCAGCCTACATGGATACCTAATTACAACCTTCCTCCCCACTCACTCTCACAATAGCAGCCAGCTAAAGCGATACGCAGGAGGGTCTGCGCTTGAGAAGCCTCTGCCTTCAGACCCGCTCGCAGCTCGTGCACACGCTCGCTGGGTGTTCTAGCCCCTGCTTCTTTGCTCTTTCAATCAATACAGTGGTCTTTCTCAAACTCTTAATCAGTAAAGTAGTTTTTCAGAGGACCACAGCGTACTTTTGAGATTTACATTCAGGTGATAGCAATTAAAAAATAAAAGAATAACCACATTTTACAATTAATGCTGGACTTCATAGTTATTAAAATTTTCAAAGCCAAATTTTTTTTGATCCTTCCTCACCACTACTCTTGGATCTCCTAAATACTACTTTACAACCCAGTTCATCCAACACATGGTATTTTTTTTTTTTTGTGATAAATATACTGTTTTAATCTCAAGTTAAACAACAGCAAAAAGACAAATCTTGAGTTTAACCGTGAGGCACAATGCACAAGCCTCAAATCATGGTAGAGAAGAGCATTTTCTTTTTTTTTTTTAATTTTTAAAAATGAAATTAGCAACTGTTTAGAAATGTAACCTTTTTTTTTTTTTTGTGGTTCTATAAAAAAGATTCTACTGAATGAACACAAGCTATAGAGGAGAACACAAAAACCTGACACCCACAAGATCAAACTGTCTCCAAACTGGAAGTGACTGAGTTATCACTATCATATTTATCTGCACTTAGTTTGTGCTTTAATAATTCTGTTTATATCTATGCTATATCGCCACCTAGTGAGCTCTGCTCCCACACAGCAATCTAACAACTAGAGTTGGCTAACTGCAAGGCTGAGCCCAAGAGCATGTCAAGTTTCTCAACATATCCTGAAATATGTTTTGTGAATTAAACATGACCATTAGCTTTAGTTTCCTAGCTTTGAAATGTCTTTAAAGATCTTGCTCCACAAGGATGAAAGAACTAAAAATAAATCTGTGCATTCATGTTATGAGCGTATATGCACATATCAATAAAACTGAATGCTGCTCAAAAGCTGGCTGAAAAATCAGCATCTTGATGAAAAGCATTTTTCTGGAAAAGTGGCGACACGCAATGAGTCTTGGAAGGAAAGGAACTTTCCGCTTCATGGCACTTTTATGTCTGATCAACAACTTGCAGCCAAAAACTTAGCTGATAACCAGCCACCTGAACTCCAGAACACCTGGCACCTGTTTTGTTTAGTTAAAAGAACCAGAACCTCTTTTAAGAGGAAGGAGGAAGAGTTCTTCAGTGCAGGGAGCAGTACAGAGAAAAGCAGGATACCAGCAGGGTAGCTGATGAATTAATTGAGACTTGATAGTTTGTCTTGGAAATACCAGGAAATGCCTTGTATTTCAGCGGATAAAGTGAAAACATAAAGTAAACCACCATAAATACAGAAATAATTTTGGTGGTATCACTCACATTCAGTCCTTTGCAAATGGAAAATTCTTAACTCTTTGAAACAAAGTACTTCAGAGGACTTCATTAACTAATGATTGCTTTGGTATGAAAAAAAGTCTATTTTAAAACATACTTCAGACAAGTGATACCACAGTATTTATGTTGTACAAAGACTGTCAAAACATATTCATGACCCTACTTACTTTTAAGATTTTTCCTTCAATTAAGAACACCTTATATTCAAATTTAAGATTTTACTTTTTTTTTTTTTTTTTTTTTTTTTTTTTTAAGAGTAGCATGTTGCATTCAAAACAAATTTCAGTTTGCTTCTCCTGCTACTTTGGGCATACATGAACACTAAGAATATTCAAATTTCAAAGGTAAAAGAAGTTGCATACTTGCTTTAACAACGAAGAAAACATTTTCCAACACTATCTCAAAGATAGAAATATATTTTCCAGATCAAACAAAACACGTTTAAGGAAAAAATCAAATTACACTGGGGTTGAAAAGACAAGTAATACCTTCTTATGAGCCTTTAACTGTCAGTTTATTTTTATTTCAACCTGGATTTTCTTCCAAATATCTGAGCATTCTCAAAAGACTGGCACGGCTTTTGCAAGATGACAGTAAGCAAGCAAGCAACCAGGATTCCCATAAACGTACACTATTAGTTTGGGTTGCAAACTCTGAAGAAAAACTGACTTTGTAGGCCAGCATATACATCTCTATGTTGGCAGTCAGAAGACACAGAATAAGACTTGTGTACAAAACGTATAATAATCTTAGATTACAGTTCTACACCTAGAATAGTCATTGCATATATGATATTCTAAAGGTATTAGAATTTAGGTATAGTAGATTGATTATACTTAAAGAGTCAAACAAGCAATTTATGGTGGGACTCATTTTTAAAAATATTTTCAGGGTAAGAGACTTTTTTCTTCCCCCTTTTTTTTTCCCAGCCTGTGTCTTTCCCTAGTTATAATTAAGGCCACCAATAAAAAGATCATTTCCCTTGTGGACACAACATGGGATGAACAGACAATCGATTAATTTCCCACCCCCCCCCAGTACACTGGTATCAGTAGTTTAGCCCTGAATTTTATGAGGATGTCTGAAAGGATGTTCTGGGGAAAAAAAGAAAAAAAAAAAGTGATGGGAAGAAGAAACAAATGAGGAAACCCAGCTTTCTATACTTACTGCAGCATGCCGAGTTGAATTCAAGTGTCTATTTCACCTCTGAGCAAGAGTTGTTTACATTCTCTGCTTTGAGGTTGCTTTTTATTTAAATATAATAATAGCAAATATTTTTTTTTTCTTTCTGGGCTCAAACATCTATTGATTATTTAGATTCTTTTTAAAGCATACCTTGAAGAGTTGTATATAGTCAAGAAATACAGGATTTTAGAGAACCAGAATGAGTAACTGGGTATGTTTCTGTACGAGCAATTTCATGGTATTTCATGGTCTCCAGAAATCTGAAACTTGTAATTCAAAATATCTAAAACCTTCTCATGTTCTTTTCTGGTACATCAAGGGTTCTTTTGATACTACAAACACCACTTAAACATTTCTTCAATAAGCTTTAGGAGAAGCTTTAGTCAGTAACAGTGCTTCTAAAACTGGTCTGCTTGCACCACAGATTAAATGTCTTGCAAATTAAAATGAAAAACAAGACCAAAGCACCTGTAATCATTCTAGTCTTTGGCAACTGAGTTAACAGCTCAGTCTGTCTGCATAAAGTTTGCCTTGATTGCTAAAAAAACTACTTCAGAAAATTGTTCCGAAAGATGGTCAAAACTGTAAATAGCATGTAAGTCGCATTAGGAACTAAGAATTCCCTACTGCCAACAGCTGTTGTAGTTAATGCTTCTCAGATGAGTTCTCGCTACAGACACACAATACTTTCACAGTAGCCTCAGCTTTAACAGCTAAGGGTTGATAGTATGAATTACTGAGAAGTTGGATAGTTGCATATGAAATCCCTGCCTGCCACACTAAGAATCACCTCCCTAGAACACCCAATGCTTTTTACTCACGATTCTCTTACTGCTAACCCTGAGATAATCATTCTGCCTCCCAACTTTTTTTTTTTTTTTAATCCTGCTACATGGGTCTGTATTTTTTCTGTAAACCCTGGAAGAAATGCTAATAATAATGTAATGAGCAGGTGAACATCCTTTAATACTTAGCTAAACTATTTCAAAATGGACACCTCAGTGCCAGTGTTGCAAATGCTGAGAACTATAAAAGAAAATATCTTCAGAAACAGGTCTGCAACAGAAATGTATGGATCTCGTTCTCCACATAAGGGTACTGTGCTCCTCACACGGAGTTCTGAAGACTTAGAGTAGCAATACAATGTAAGACAAGCCATTGCAACAGACAAGGCCAAAAAGGAGTACCAAATACTAATCTTCTAACTTTATGTAAACAAAGATGTAGCTTCATAAAAAAAATCAGAACACATATCAACCTTTTAACCAGCTCAGTAACTGACACAATTTGTAAGAATGGTTACTCATGATGACAAAGCTTCCCAACAAGATCTGCGCTGCAACACAATCCACACTGGGCTGGGACTGACCTACCTTAAACCAAGTACAAAAGCTTAAACACGCTCACAACCCACTTCGTGTCACTGAGTATCAACAGTGTTTGAGAGTGCATCAGCCAAGATGCTTCCCAGTGTACCCCTCTTGGAAGAACAACAGTAAAGATGCTTTGAAATCGTTGTTGTCCATTCCCCTGTACTCCCCAGGAACAGGGTTCTACATCTATTTAGTCCATCTATGACTGCTGAACTGAACTGCAGCCTTTTAAAGCATCTCATGTAATGAGTTTCACATTCCCATTATTCAGAGGCTTTTTTTTGTTTGTTTGTTTTTCTATTAAGACAAAATGTATTTACTTGGAACAAAAGTAGCACAAGTAACATTGCTATTACCCATACCGAACTTTTCAGATTTGATCCATCTTCCACAAGGGATTAGTTTATGTCCTTCAGTCCTCCTACAGGGCCTGCCACAGATTTTCACACCTATAGCTAGATTCTCTTTTCCTGCTTATTGCTACTTCAAATCTGTATTCAGAGCCCGTGAAATCAAGTCAAATAAAGTCTTCTTTTTCCCCCGCAATGGGCTGGTGTGGGAAGAGGGAGGAGTGTAAAACCTCTCAACACTTGGAATTTATATAACTGAAATAATTTAGCAAAGAGGACAGGAGAAAAATTTGTTTACATTCCCAATGACTTCAGTTCCCACTTACAGTGCTCATCTTTACTTCTGTATTTCTGATGCTGCATGTAATATCCTTTTTTTTTTCCCCCTTTGCATTCCAGTTTTGTAGTTTCTGCCAAAGCAGCTTCATACTAAACGAATTGCTTTATGGTATTTACACGGAACATTTTAAGAAATGCATGGTGTCATGCATGACCACTGCCAATGACAACTAGAAAAAAAGTGTACTTCTAAAGACATATAAAGTTTTAAAACAGACAAGACTAGTATATGAATGTGCCAAGATACTGTGCAGGTATTTTAGATACTAACTGTGCTACAGAATGGTCACAGTTTCAAAATCCCACCTGTGAGAGAAATCAAGTCGTGTTTTTGCAGTGGAAAATTCTACCAACCTTGTATATTCAAAAGTGATTGTGCAGGCCTACAGTGGGAAGTATGTTAAGCAGATAAGGGCAAGGTCCCACTGTCCCAAAATAAGCAGAATAGCTAAGAAAAACAAGATGAGCAGTGCGAAATCAGTAAAAACAACAACAACAAAAAAAATCACAGGCCCTCTAGTCATGAGAGAAGTAGAAAAAAAAAAGGAGAAATTAATGGTTGGTCAAATAAAATTGTATATACCTGGTATAGCAATAAGTGTTGAGTAGTTTGTGGACCTGTAGTACTCAACCAATGAGGAAACGGAAGGAATTAAGCATTGGGTAATAGGGAATAAAAGGTTATGATATGCTTTTGCTGGATGCTCCTGCTTGCAGGATGCTCTCCGTTGCAAAATAAAAATAGTACTTCACTGAGATCCTCATGTGAGCCCGTGTTATTGGCTGCAGGCTGTTTCTCACACACCCCAGTGCAAAGAAATACTAGGCTAAAAGGTCAGAACCAGAAAGGCCAGGAAATGTGAACCCTACCCATCCTAACTCCTCTCTCAACCCATCAAAGCAACAGTGGGAAAATTAAGTGAAGCTGAAGGAAGTTTCCTGTTCTTAACTCCTCTTCTAGCCTGCAACAACCACACACATGCAACTTCCATTCTCATTATAAACCAGTTCTCTGTACAACACTTCACCATCTTTTACAGCTGCTTGCCATATCACAATTGCTTGTAGAATCGTACCAGAAATCAGTCAAAGCTCAAAACTGAGTCTAGTTCAACCAAGCCATCCATGAAACATTTTGTATTAAATTATCATCACCTAGCATCAGCAATTTTCATTTTTAAGTTACTGATACTAGGCCCACAGCTGTCACCCTCCCTTCCTGCAGTGCTAGGTGAGAAGAGTCAGACCCAACCGTTATGAATATACTTATCTAACGTAAACAGAATCAAACGGCAAATCTGAAACATCTGCCCATGACTACTCATCCATAAACATGATGCTTGAAGTCTGTAACTCATTTTGCAAATAAGGAAGAAGGAGAATTCACAATGAAAGCTTACATGCTAAGTTAGTATTTGTACTTTACTTGTCTTAAAGAATGTCTGACTCAAATAGTTCTTTAAAGAACGGATACATCTACAACAACTTTTAACAACAATTTTGCATCTACAAATTTTATCAGATTTAGTAAAGCTCACAGTATCCATATGCAGGTTAAAATATTTATTACTGCAGTGAATCTTAATACTGTTCAGATCTTAATACTGTTCAGATTCTTTGATTCTTTCCTTACACATCAGTCACACTACTGACCACTTAGTCCAGCTGCTAACAGCTATTTGTGTAACTAGCCAAGTCACTAACTGAGGCTTAATTGAGGACAGAACACATACTCCCTCAAATGCATGGTGACATACTTTAAAAGAAAACAGTAAAGAGAACCTTCAGAATTCTGATAGAGAGAATTAGTTTGAAGAGTTAACTTTGAAAAATTTGGAAAAATCCTAGATGTCTATGTCTGCCTGAAGATTTATTTTCATTTTGGAGTAACAGATTAACAAATCAAAGTACTATGTTCCTTAGTAATTCAATACAGACAGCCCAGGCTCAAAATTTGCCCAAACATCCGAACATTGAACTAATGTGTTTGATCTGTCTAAAAGTGCCACATGATTTGAACAAGTATTTTAAATGAATCTCACTCAGAACTTTCTAGCGAATATGCACACAAAAATGTTTTTTTTTTTTTTTTTTTTTTTACAAAGATATTTGTAAAGACAACACACAAAGAGCACACCTGTTTAAAGTAGTAAAGCATGAATTTACCTCTTTAGAATCATCAATCCTCTCAAAATAAACAAAAGCAAATCCTCTTGATCGTCCAGTCCGCTGATCATAAACCACATTGACACCAGTCAAAGGTCCGTAACGGGAGAAGACTTCACGCAAATCTCTCTCAGTGGTATACAAACTGAGACCAAACACTCCGAGACATGTATTAGGATCTGGATTGGCCTGGTAAGACAAGCATTCAACTCCAATTAAGTTAATAAAATACAAGTTATACATTCTTACATTGAAATTTCTCAATTATTTTTAAATTAAAAAAAAAAATAAGCATAGTTTATTACAAATCTTAATATTTCAAGCATTAACATTTCAATCTTAAAGTATAGCTCATTTTCTGGTTTTTATTTTATATATTAAAAAAAAGTAAACTTCCATGTTGGTGAAAAATTCCGACTGTACACTTGAGAGAAATGAAGCACTATGGTTACAGAAGAGATACAGGTAACGAGAACCTGTTTTATTAGTATTTCTCACTCAAATCATCAACAAGCTGAAGGCAGGATGTCCAAGTGTGTGCTGAAAACTGGTCAGCCAGCCTCAACTCCTATCCTCAGCCATTCCGCAAGGTCACCACCAACGGTTCTGAATACTGCAGGCTGCCTTCAGTTTCATACACTAAAAGCATCTGAGATCCTAAGCATGGACAGCTGAACTTGCCTTCTACCAAAGGTGTGTTCTTCCCAACCCCTCCTCCCTCCAACATTTCCTATTCAACAATAATGAAAGTTAATATTTAAATTTGAAAGTTTCTTTCTGTTCAATAAGCTGGATCAAAACCAGCAGCTTCTCTCAACTACATACTGAAGGCTGGTTCCATGAAACTGTAACCCAAACGTGCGCTCACTTTTCTAGAGCAAGACTCTCAATTCTTTAAAGTAACGTGGAAAATGGAAATACTCATACACTTTACTTCAACTAAAGGAAGTCAAATAAGAAATCATACAATTGTTCAAGATACTGCAATTCATTTTCCTATCAGGCTCAAAATTTCTCTATATGCCCCAGAATTCATACAATGCCAATTTCATTTTAAGAATTACCTTGATCAAAGTAAGTTGTTGTTGTTTTAGTTTTGTTGTGATTTTTTTTTCCTAGCTAAGTTCCTGGCACCTGTTATACTAGACTCAGGAATTTAAAATTGGAGCAACAGGCATTTTTTCTGCTGAAATAGTAACTACAAGTCAACACAGATGAAATTTATATTTCAGCTTCAGGTTTTCAAAGCACAGTGCTGTACTGTACTGATGCACAGTAATTTATGTCTCAGAGCCTGCCTTTCATCCTGACTTGAAGAATGAACAAATTGAGATCTCCTGTCATGTTCTCTTATGAACCCCTCTGTAGTCCTGGATACCAAGGTGACAATTTTTAGATGACAATTTAAAGTATAGTCTTGGATTTCAAAGCTTACTTCCATAAGGAAAAGGAAAATTCTACTTCCAAATACATAGTCATGAAACAAACTAAGACTAAAAGCTGAGTAAAAGTATTCCATGGTCTCTAGCTGAAACTCTACACCTTTAAACAAATTAAGTAACTACACTAAGCCAAGTAACAGGCACGGAAGATTAGAACATGCACGTTAGTTACCGGGACTTAAACTTCAACATGCAGATTTTCAGACAGAGAGCCATGAGAATCAGAATGCAAAATATAAACCAAGAAAAACATTTCTGTGTGCAGTTGGCTTAAGTTTACCCTACTGCGTTCTCCATCTGCAGAAAAATGTTTAGAACTTCAACTCTTGTTTTCTGGAGAACCATAACATTAGATAGTGACTGTGACCAAGTTAAGCACATCTTTTTTACTACACAAGAAAAAAAGTATTTGGATAGTATTTTTCCACGTAGGAAGTAGCGACTTAATAAGCACTTCTTTTCACAAGAATGTTTAAAAACATTACAGCTTTGTTTACTTGCTTCTGCCTGAGCAGGTTCAGTGAAAGCATCAGTTTCTCATCTGCAACCTACCCTAGCTCCAGTTAAAAAATTACAGCTTGCTGATACAACAAATTCCCCTATCTTCTACCAACACACGGAAGAGATGAAGTACACGATTCACCCGTGCTCTCATACTATCTTTCCTTATTTTTATAACGGTATGTTTCAAATTGTGTTGTTCTTTTTTTTTTCCTCATAACTTTTTTTCAGGAGTTTTCATTGTGAAAATATGATGCCCAAAAATACCTGTGTATTTGTTTCTCTGCATTTGCCAAATTTCAAACATCAGTTTTAAGTAATGAACCCTATTATCTATGCTAAGGCAAGCTAAGTACAGAGAACCACTCTGTGCGCTCTAAGCAACAAGTGACCACTGGAAAGATTGTTCAGTGTCAGCCATCACCACTGGAAAGATTTTGACTGTGCAGAATTAAAAGACAGCTTTAATACTAAATTTTTTTTTGTACTGCCTCCCATTGGCACAGTATGCCAAGGTCAGCAGAAGTGGCAAAACTGCTACCAATTTTCCTAGTGTCCTTAGACCTTGCAGCTTAGAGAATTCTAATCTGGTTTATTTTTGTTTTGACACTATTAGAACTACTCCTTAGAATGAACATGGAATTCACTCTGTGAAGGACTTTCTCATGTTTCACAGAGTCATTTCCAAGGCAAAAAAGACTTCACAGCAAAATATTCTAATACTTCCTAAAGTAGTAAAGTGGATTCATTTGTCTTTCACCAGGAAATCTGCTAAGCCTTTTGAAGTTGTTATTCCTGCCAACTTTTTAAGACATTAGATTCGTATTTACAACAGTATGACTACACACTGGCAACAATCCACAAATAGCTTAAGTACAAATGTTGCTTCACAACAGCTTAAGCTGCTGTACATTAGCACTGCTGTAGTCTTGCCTTCTTCCACATAATCATCTTCTCTCTCACATTAGTATTAATTGGTTGTGGTAAGCTGCTTCACTAAGGTAAGCATGTAAAAAAAACTATATTCTTTTTGACAGGATTAATAATAAATAAAGAAAAACTAAAAAAGATGAATACTAAAAAGATCATTCATGGTCCTCACCAAGGAAGAGGCAGGCCCGTGTGTAGCAGATTCACTTAGATCAGCATCAAGTGATGCAAAACCAGAATCTAAGACACTGAACCAGGAAGGACACGACACTGGGGGAAATTTCTCTGAATGACACAGAAGTAGTATCTTATGTCTTTGTTGGTTTACCTACACTTTCTATCCCTGTCTGTACAGAAACTAAGTTATTTCATTTGAATTCTGAGAAGACTATCGATCCTTTTCATAGCTCTCTGTTTTTCTAGTTTAAGATTTGCAAATGAGTTCATTTCTTCAAGTTAAACCAAAATCATTACTTGGAAATAAAAAAATCACAAGCAATCTTCAACATAACACACTATATGTTATAAAGAGCCTTTTTTTTTCCCCTTACTCCTATAGTTGTCTTGGAATTATTTTCACTTTTTTTTTTTGTTTAAAGGCATGCACAGTTGCCTTTTTTTGTGAAGTGTACGTATGCTTGGAACAGAATAAAAATAGAAAAAGTCTAACTTCTAGAGCAGAGGGAAACAGATGCAACCTATCTACCCATACTCACCTGGGACAGTACGACTTACGGTAAAATTCTACGACTACTCTGCCAATGGCTGGCACAAGACATTAGCGCCTAGTTGTTAAGGAAAGACTTTGTCCCCCCAACCCAAAAACAATTCCTGTACAATTCCCAATAACAAGACAGCAAGTCAAATTCAGCCTGCAGTTATCTTAGACTACACTGATGTAAGCAGGGACTGTTCTGTTGATACTCAGCCTTGGGGAACATGACATACTCTGCTGCCTGTGTGCCTTCTCCTGTTGGACATTGGAGAGTGACTACGGCTCCTTCGACGGCGGTATTCTGGCGTGTACGATCTGCTTCGAGAACGTCTCCTATGGGAATGAGAATGGGAATGGGATCTGGAGCGAGTGTAACGTCTGTGCGAATGTCTTCTGGACCTGGATCTTCAACAAAGAGAAAGCTTTTAGTTAGGTCATATGCACCCAATGTGAAATGTAATGAAATGAAATGTAAGCCTTACATTTCCCAGAGAAAAATTTTAAATTCATTTTTCAGAGGCTCACTACAATAAAAACAGTTAAGTTTCTTCTACTTTGTGCATCTTAAGATTGCAGATCTTAAATAACTTGCTCAGTAGCACAAGTTTCAATGTGGTCAGAGTGCTTCTGGCATCAAACACAGGTTATATTCACAACAGTCTTCAGACAGTTCAGAGCTTAGACTTTTATTAGCTTGGCTCCACATGTAACACTTGTATATTGATACAGACACCAAGTATACCACACTGTAAAATACTGTCTTAGCTGATAAACTGAAAGATCTAGCAGTACAACAGTGCTAGGGCATCTACAGATGAAGTTTGAAAAATCAGTTGAGACCAAAAAAGCTGTTTGACTCCTCAAGCATTTCTCTGCAGATATCCAGTCAATGATGAACACAGTTTTGAACTTGCATAATTCTATCAAAGCTGCATGATTTCATACAGTTGTTGTATCCTAATAACAGGCAGATATCTGGCTACACACTGCAAGAGAAGAAGCAGTAACATCGGGCTGAACTTTGCAATTTCAGAGCACAGTAACTCTTCTAGACTTCCCTGGTAAAGTAAACAGATAGAGAAGACACTGATCTCTCCCAGGAACTGGTAAAGAAGAAAAATGTAGTGCTGTGCGAATCCCCCTCCCTCTCCAGGGGCACAAATGTTTTGTTTTCTGGTTTTTTGCTCCACCGATAAAAGGATTCAGTAGCTCTACCAGTTTCAACAGTATGAAGGTGCACAGCAAGATAGAAGAAGAGAAGTGGCATGAGCTGGGTATTTTATGACATACTTAGAGGAAAAAAAGGTAGACATTCCTCCTGTACACCAAGTTCTCTCAGAACTGAGAACTGTAAAACTTTGCCTGTGCAGACACAAGCAGGGAGAGAAAGGCATACGCAGCTTCCAAAAACAAGCTTAAATACTAAAGCTGCCATAAATTAAGAAGCTATCCATGCCCAACTTTAATCACATTTTTTTCAGATTTTTTTTTTTAAAGAAAAAAAAAAAAAGATTCTGGTGCAGGACTGTTAAGAACTGGCCCAAGTAGTGTCTTCCAACATTTCCAACAGCTATGGAGCTTACTCTTTTATCCAACCCAGACTACTTTTGCTGTAGTTCTCCCTTCAGTTTTCCTTCTTTCCTAAAGGAGGGGTCTACACAAGAAAGAGTTCCCCTGAAAAAGGTTCTGGGGGAAGGGGACATAAGCTTTTACAGAACTGAGCTGTACTCTCTTCTCTCTCTTCTGGAGTAGTTTGATCTTCTCATTTTAGTAATGATTTCTACTCCACTACTTCTATTATATTACCTCTCTATAAATCCACACACACTATTACTTACGGAATCCTCCCCCAGCTTTGTTCAACTATACGTCCACCAACACACAAATTAACAGCCTTCTTAATACATTTCCAAAAGGTTTATAATTTTTATAACAAATTAACAGCCATCTTAATACATTTCCAAAAGGTTTATAATTTTTATAAGGGGAAAAAAATCTCAGCATTGTAACAAAAGAACAGGCATAAGCACTAATAGTGAGTATCAATTCAAACTATTTCCAGACATACCTCGATTTTGATCTCGACCTAGAGTGCGATTCAGAATGTTTGGAAGCTCTCGATGGACTGCGAGATCCTGACCTGCTCTCCGATTTTACACGAGCAGGACTCCCAGCTGGAGATTTTGACTGGGAGCGAGACTCCTAACGAAAAAGATAGTATTACAAATGGTATTGGTTGTACAAATGCCTAACTCCTAACATTTAAAGTACAGTAATTCTATTATATTGATTGCTCCTGAAAAAACAAATGGTTAGGCAATACCCTCCAGAACAAATTTTCATTTTGCTAGCCCACTGTTAATATTGTATGCTTTCCTCAAATAGATCCCTGCTTGAACCAGATCACCAATTCTCTATTAACTAAGTAATCATGCAAATTCATCTACAACTTGATCATACAGACACTGGAACATAAACCATACATTTACTTAACCTAGGACCCATTCATTCTTCCAGATTCTTTTAATTCTACTTCACTCTTGCTTTCTACTTCTCTTCATTCTTCATTGAGTTTTTCATTTTTCATACTTCGTGTATTCTTCCCCAATTCAAACAATTCATTAAAGCCTTAAAAAAAACATTCAAGTGCTTCTATCTGACCAATCTTCTGTTCAATTTTTTCCCCCATTCAATTTTAATTTTCTGATCTTTAATACTTTTCATTAGCCTTCTTTTATCTTGATTTATCTTCCACATTCTTGGAAAAAACTCTTCAATTTCTTCACGAACATTAACCTTAATGGAAAAAGAACATTTAGTATATTTAAGCACGTGGGGATTATAAAACTCTGCTGGAGTTCAGATGTTATCTACCAAATTGAAAAGCCAGCAGGTAAAGTGCAAGAAACTACTTTATAAAACAACCTTTTTTAAAAAAAGCTTTAAAACTGTATAAGTGTCTACGGTCTAACAATGAGCTTACTGAGTTCTCAGTGTTTTACTGTATTTTCAAAGCTACCCTCCTCCCCTTTCAGATTTTTATTCTCTGTACGATACATAGATGAACTAAAAAGCTAATTAGCACAAATATATATTAAAAATATTGATATCGATAACTGATTTTCCCCCTAGCAACAACTATGTACTTCGCAGTATTAAATATCCCAAATTCCACTCCTACACATTATTACTAAGACACTCAGTTCAACAGCACGGCCAAAGACTTCCAGTCAAAATCTATCTATGCACATACTTACTCGCATAATACATGCACATAGATATATGCAAGACAAATTTTTCTTCCTACTTTCTCTTCCTCATTGTTATCCTGTTTTCCTTGCACACAACTTAATCCACAAAAAACAAGACGTATAATACTGCAGTTCAAAGCAATCCAATAACAGACAGGAGGTTTTTTTTTGTTTTCTTGTATGATAATGCACACAAGAGAAAAACTAGGAAAACAAGCAAACAAAGAGCAGGTTAGGATTTCCTCACATTTTAGTGTACAGCATTCCTAGGGAGCTCAGCTATATAAAAACAAAAAAAGCTGTGGAAATGTGTGCTATATACCTCTATAATGTCACAAAAAAACGTGCAAAACTTGTAATGGAAAAATCGCACAGCAAGTTCCCCTCCCACAAGCGTTACATTTCATTTTCATTTTCATCATTTATTCTCCTGCCTGTCCTTAAAATACTTTCCCCAACTTATCTATTTTTTCCATGTAAGTCCAGATTTGCATTTTCTTTTGTAGTTGAATTCTTCAGCATTCTGAAGTCCTTTCCAAAGGACTCCTTCCTCATATTCAAAGACAATAAATCGACCAAAAATGAAACATGGGAGACCCCTTATTTCTTACAGCAGTATTACAGCTATGCTGCCTTTCCCCCTTTACCTCAATGAAAAGGACACAGGATACGTGGAGGGCATCACCTTCTAATTTGACAGGCACACTAAACTGATCAATGAAGGCCAAATTCAAAGCTGGGCTGTGACGTGGACCCCAGTAGGTCTACGTTACAGGTTATCCTATTGAGCCAGCTATCTGCTGGTCTAGCTACAAGACTGTCGCAGAAAGAGAAGGAAGAACGGGCACTTAAGTAATACCAGATTTTATTCTGTGTTCTTACTGTTTTATTTGAAATTCACTGTTCATTATTTAAAAAACAAAACAAACAAAAAAAAACTTTTAGAGCCACTAACATGCTTTTTCATTACCTCTCCTCTAATTTTGTACTCTTTATTGTTTGATAGCTCTCTTTAATCCTTACATTTATACTTCATATCCTGCAATACTTCCCAGTTTCTCCTGGAGTTATTTCCACTCCCCTCCTCAGTGAAAGTGACCAATAATATAGAAAAGCACTTCATGTGACACCCTTCAGATTTAGAATAGATCCTTCAATGAAAAGACAAAGAATTCACTCTCCTCAGTCACTCTTTAATGAGGATACTGTACTGTCCATTCTCTTTTTACATTTGAGAGATCACTTCTTAAACAATAAGGTTGGAAAAAAAAAAAGAAAGAAAAAACAAGAACAAAAAAAAACAGATACCACACAATCTAGAAGTGTTGGGAGGTTCCAAAAATATTAAGAAGCCAGTTAACTCCCATACAATGACAAAATTAGCTTAGCATCCTTATCTATTCAACTGAAGCATCTTCTGATGCTGCCCCCAGTTTTCTAAGAGTATCAGTTCTGACAAGGGCTCTGTATGAAGTTGCCAAAAGCAAGCAGTGCAGCATTTCATGGAGGTGAAGTCCTTTTCCAAGCTGGTTGCTCCAGCCCTTTAAGGGCTGCACTCACAAACACATAACTTTAGAAGCAGAGGGACAGAGGTGACAGCAGGAGTTCTTACACATTTCAAACTTCCTCAAACCAAGTACCTGTAGATGTAAACTGCAGCTGAAGAGAGATTACCTGTTAGCAGTTGCATACCGTGTCTGTCACTGGCAGGCAATTACATCTCATCTTCTGATGCAACATAGATCACCTAGTTATATCTCCTACAGTGCTTCAAAAGGAGACACTAAGGGAATCGCAATAACCTGGAAGAGTTTAAGGACTTAAGGAGGACACTGGAAAAGTACCTAATAAGATTTACATCAGCAAGACTACAGGTAGGGATTAAGAGATTCAGAGCTTCAAGGTGTCACAGAGAGCAATTTTAAAGAATTTTCCTCCTCTATTTCCTGATGAGAAAATAATTAGCAAGATTTGCCTTAGTCTATGTCACAGACAGACCCCACTGTTCTTCATAACCAATTTATACATCCATTCTGCAATATCAACAAGAACATTATAGTCAACGTGTGTCATCTGTACGTCATTTTTAACAACAGCAAATAGACACCTCTATCATCCAAAGCATTCAAATCCTTAAGTCCTGTACTAGTCTTCAAGTAATTAGATACCCTGATCTTAGCTCCATGTTTACTCCAGAAATTAATTAAACTACTATTTAAGAAAGAATGAACTACAATTTCTCTCTGTATCCCCAATATTTACTTATCTTTCTGTTCTAAAGATCCTCAGTCACTTGAGGGCCACAGATCAGACTGCATTTTGTTAAAGTCAGCTCCTCACCCCACAACAGCCTCACACTTGACAGTGCACACCTTCATGTCTTCTGCTTTGTTACGCAACTCTCAAGGCACCGCTCTCACCCTTACAACCTCACAGGCAGGCAGACGCTCACTGGGACCATTTCAAACCATCTACATTTGCTCTCAGTACAGTCTGTCGTAAAGAGACAGCCAGCGAGCTACCTAATAGTCTTCAGATCAATCTTCCCATTCAAAAGACATATATTTGTCAATAACACTTTTCCCATGGTAAAAATGGAAAAAAATTTTCACTGTGCTTCCTCAGAGCAAGATACGGTGACTTCCTCAAGCACATACTGGGAAATGGGATTAATGATTCACTAGGAAGTCAAACTTGGAGGCAAACAAATTATTGTAGGTGAACACAACCTAAAGACTGCTGCTTCAGCTACTGATCCTCTGGTTAAGAACCACAGAGCTAGAAGCATTTATAGAGAGCACTGAAGAATATTTTCCATCATTCCTACCTAGTTTATTCCAGAAAGAACAACACTGAAAAAAGTAATATGGACAGGATGCCCCTTCCTACCATCACCTCATGCTCACATAGACCTAGGCACTGAATAACTGATCAACAGCTTTAGCTAAGCAAGATGTTAGTCACGTCACTGCATTTCACCCGTATCGGTACAACTGTTTCAACCATATGCGATGCAAGTTACAGCTGCCATTTATCTTCCTCATATCCTTCAAGAGAAATGCTACTTTCCAAAACAGTTACTTTAAAAAAAAAAAAAATCACATTCCAAACAGTTCTATGTAGAGCAGAATTGCAAAGGTCTTTAGGAAGTATTTTTAGATTTCCACCCATCATCAGAGGGCACGATAAAGACAGCAAGAAAAGACAAAAATAGTTTTTACATGACTCTTCTGTCCTCGTTTTTGTCACGTTTTACCATGCCTCAGGCCTCACCGTTTCAGAGCATATCATAAAGGGTTTGCTACAAAGCTATCGAAATTTAAAGAGAGATTAAGTAAAAAGAGACAATTAGGCTTACACTAGGCTTCCTATAGCAAAGCATGGGAAGTCAAATGGGAAGAAAAAATAAAAAAACATGTTATCACCAAGAAATTTCAGTTGGCCTCCACCCTAAGACGTACCACCTGCACGGGGGGGAAGAACAGGACAGCAAGTAGTACAGCAACACCATTAAGCTAGCAGAAGATAGCTCAAGGCTTTACAAAAATCTTGCAAAAAAAAAAATAAAAATCCTGCCCTAACTCCAAAAATAAACAAAGTCCAACTTCATAAGGGAACAGAAAAGTGAAAGCAGTCAAAAAAGAAACTGAAATTTGGTAGCAGCCTACATTCGCTGGATTAAGCTGTCAATTTAGCAGCATCTCTTCCTGAGATGAGACCAGATTACTTTTTAACCACTGCTTTGACAGGAACTCACCAACCTTCCTCTGAACTCATCAGAAAAGTTACACTTTTGCTTAACACTGTGATCTGTCACTCCATACTAAAAATAATACTAATCTCTTAATTAGCTATTTTTCCATAAATAATTTAATACATATGTAAACCTACGTTTCTTTTCATACAGAAACTTATATACATATTTAACTATTTTAAAAATGCATCAGCAAGCTTTATACATTGTTAAAAATGACACTGCTCCAATAAATATAAATAAATAAAAAGAAGTAGCTTCAGCAATAAACCTTTTGAAATACATAAGTTTATCTTTTCATTGAGGCTTGAATATATACACCTGTCCACGGAAGGGTGCTGTGGTCACTCTTTTGCCCAGGTAACAATCTAAAATTTATTAAGTTTATTAAACAAAACAAGCAAACAAAAAAAAATCAACTTCTGTAAAAAGTTTCCTTTCCCATGTTTGCCATTAGAAACCACGGCACGATCACAGCCTACCCAAGCTAATGCAGAACTGCAGAGCATTAGCAGCCTGTCACGCCTGTACTTGAAGAGGTAGGAAAGCAGCGTGCCTTCCTTGCCCCTGAGCTGGCAGGTTGCTGATACAGGTGTCTGAACCAAAGGAATCATCTCAAGGTTGATCAGGTTTAGGTAGTGTTGGAACATATATAAATTTAAGTATTTTCTTCATGAAGCTTGCATGCAAAAAAAAAACACAAGACACGTTCAGAGTTTAGCTGACCCAAAAGCCACCTGCATGCACACAAACTACACATCCTTCCTTCAACAAAATGGCTCGCACATGAAATGATCTAGGGTTCAAGTGCTTTATTAGACTGAAATCACTGAGATTCTGGCGAGAGTAGGAAGAGGCCTCTCATTACAGCCACAGGAGATGATCAATCTGGAGTTCTAAGATGGAGTTCTGCCTTCACTCTGATATAAAGTTTTGTCTATTTAGACAAAGAACCCATTAATATTTGTAGACAACTAGTAAACTTTTAAGATTACAGAAGTCAAACGCTATCAGAAGCTCAAAAAAAATTGATCAAAACTGCAAGCGGAGTTTCCGTTCGCGTCTGTTCAGACTGCAACTTTTCCATTGCTCTAGGGAAGCTTTTAATGAAGCTGCATCACAGAACGTGCACCAGATGAACAATCTGTTGTTACAAATAACTGGGCAAATATGAAAGGAACTGAGATCTAAATCCTTACAAAGCTATCATCTATCAACAATAAGAGATAAAAAGTCTCATCTGTCTAACCTGCTCAAAATGAACACTTAAAGGTGATAAAATCCTGTACCTTCTGCAAAACTCACATCATTGGACAGAAACATGACTTAAAATCTGTTTCCTTCTTCAAGTCCATAAACTTACACCTAGTACACCCATTGTATTTCTAATTATTCTGTCAATTTCTTTCCCCCAACCATACTTGGGGGCAGGATTTCTTCTCTTCCACCAGCCACATCCTTAATACAGAACTTGCTGAAGCAAAATTGATGTAAAAACAAAGCAAACGTTAATTAGTCTGAACATATCTGATTAACATTTGCTTTGGAAAAAAAATGATCAGTAAAGAAGTGAGTAAGATCGAGAATAATAGTTTAAATCCCTGCAATTTTAACCAACACTTCATAAATGCAAGTTTTCGAGTAGTACAGATTATGCAACCTCACTGCAAAGTTATTTCCAAGATTATCCTCAATTTCCTCTTCACATGAAGTGACAGCATGATTTTAAAACTGCAAATTGGAGGCAAGATGCATGGACATCTTAACACTGCTAAAACACGCTTTACAGAATAATTCCTGACATCATTTATTTTTGTTAAAACTATTTTTTTTTTCTTTACAAGTAAAAAGAAGAACAGGGAAAGATTTTCTAACTAATCTTCCATGTAAAGATTTATTTTTTTATAATTTTTTGGTTACTGCTGACTCAATATGCACCTTCATCTTATCAGACTTTATTGCTATTCCACTACTTTGAGGAACTTTACTGGAAGTGTTTTTGGGGATGATATGCATCTGTATGGACAGAAAGGGACTTAGACTAAACTTACCCCCCCCCCCTCTTTGAACATCACACTTGTTAGTAGCTAAGCCGAATGCTAAGGAAGGTGGGGAGGACTAAAAGTTAGGTACTCGGAAATCTCTTTTGTGTCAATTTGGAGGAAAGCAGGTTCTCCACCCTCTCCCTGGTCTCTTTGTGGTTCCTTCTCCCACTGAACTCTTCTGCCATACTCTCTCCATCCCATGTGCCTGCACATAACTGAGGCACTAGGACATTCAGCTTGGCACAGGTCTGTCCGTTTGGGAACAGGAGATTGAAACACTGAATACCCCCAACACTTACATGCTTATTTTATGAAATATATATATATTAGGCTGCAATATTTTATAATTTCAAGTATTTCAACAGCATCATTGTCAACAAAAAGATGTATTAGTGAAAGAAAAAAAGAACCGCTTAGGAATGTTCCTAATTACAACTTTTTTGTTGTTGTTTTTAAGTGAATCCTGTTCTGTTCAGTTATGTTTAAAAAAAGAGCATTAAGCAAGAGAGTGCCACTTGCTAGACTGATTCAGAAATTCCAGTATTACGGAAAGAACACAAGTTTTCCAAGTGAAAACTCAATGGGGTCAGCAGTTCTGTCCAACAGGTAAATTTTCCACCTCAAAAAAAAAAAAAAAAGCATAAGCCAACTGAGAAGTAACAGTCAGAGAAATGGCTATGCAGGACCTCTCATACTTCAAATACTGTCAAAACATTAATTTTATTTCTACATTTGGCAGAAGAAGGTATGCAGAAATACTGAAACTAAACAGCTGTATCATTTTTTTTAACACTAACATTAGATCCATCACAGAAGCTAATATAAACATTCTCTGGAGGAATCTAATGTAAATAGTTATAAGAAAACAATAAAAAAGCATAAATTTTGCTATAAGCTGGGAGGCTATAGTAACAAATTTAAAAAAAAATGAACAACGAAGATTACTTATGCTCAACCTTCTCTGAGTTGGCTGGTTTTCCTTTCAGAGACTAGTTCATTTATCTGAAACGAGCATAGGTAGACAGCCGCCTTTGTCCAGCAACTAACACAAGAACAGATTTTGTTTACCTCACCTGAGGAACCAGCAGCAGTCACTGCGCAGCCAGGTACAACACAGTCAGCCTGGGGACTGGGTTTTTTTTTTGGTTTTCTTTATGTTTTCTTTTTTAAAGACTAGTGTTACAAAAAGGCTACAGCATTTCTGTAAGAATTATTATTGGAATGTGACTCTGGTCCTTTAAAAATTCATTGCTCGGTTCTCCAGGCAACAACCTTATGTAACCGTATTACTGAAAAGCTGCTATCGCTGGTTCGTCAGAAAAAGTCACCAAAAGGATGCTCAGGTGTTCTTCTAAAGCAACTCTCTAGGAGAGAACATAAAAAAATATATATCTCTGAAAAATTAACAAAAAAAAAGTAAATGGTGATGGAGAGAGAACAACGCACGTTTAATTTCTGTTTCAAGCAGCTCCTAATTCCTGCCTGCCCTGCTCATCACTAGGGGAAAACACACACAAAAAAAAAAAAAAAAGAAAAAAGAAAAAACACAAAGAAAACGGAAGGGACCAGTCGGAGGCCTAGAGAAAAACCGCAGCCATTGGAGGGCAGAGAGAGAAGGAACAGGCCTGACAGGGATCCCAAACCGCAGCGGCTCCTGGAGAGAAAGTCTTCGGCTCCTGGCGCTCGCTGCGTGCCGGGGGTTTAACAGCGGGGGCTGCACCTCCCTCCCCTCCCCTCCCTGGGGCCTTGCGAGGCTCGGGGCACAGCGGGCAGCAGGAGCGCTCACAAAAGGGCCCGGTCCCTCCTCGGGGAGCAGGAGCGTGAAGGGGGCCGGGGCTGGGCCCTGCTGCCGGGGGTTGGGGGGGCAGGATGGAGGCACCCCCCCCCCACCCCAGGAAGGGGGATGGCGGCGTGAGGGGGAAGGAAGATTGGGGGGGGGGGGCAGCGGGCTCAGCCCCCAGCCGGGCCGGTTCCCTCGGGTCGTTAAAAGCAAATAAAATAATAATAAAAATAAATAAATAAATAAAGGGGTGTTGGGGGGGACACAGGGCGAGGAGGGGGACGTGAGCGGCTCACGGCTCGGCCAAGCCTCGGGCTCCCGGAGGAGCCATTTTAGGAGCCCCCCCCGCCCCTCATCCCCATCCCCCGTCAGGGCGCCCCCTCACAGCACGGCCCCGCCAGGGCCGGCCACTCACCCTCCCCTCGAAGTTGTTCTCCTCCACGTCGCTCATGTCGGCAGGGTCCCGGCCACGGGGTTGGGCTGGGCTGGGCGAGGTTAGGCTAGGCTGGGTTAAGGATTAAGGATTAGGGCGAACGGGGACGCTCAGTGCCGAGCAGCGACCGCAGCCGCCGCCACTGCCACCACCTCCCTCCCGCCGCGGCCGCCCCGCGCCGAGTCCCGCCGCAGCGCAAAATGGCGCCGCCGCCGCTCCGGCTGCGCCCGGCACGGCGCGGGGGGGCGGGGCGCGGCCTGCCTGCCACAAAGGAGGCGCCGAGCGCGGCCTCGCTGTGAGGGGAGGTGGTGGCGGCTCCGTGTGGGACGGGGGACGCCTCATCCTCCTCCCCGTGAGGTGAAGGCAGCGCCTTCGCGGCTCCTCGTTTCATCTCATTTCCACAAAGATGCCGCCCCGTGCCCACACACCGACGGGGGGCATCTGGAGGCGCTCGGTTCCCCCGTAACTGCCCAGGCTTCTGTCCCCAGCCCAACTTGGCTTCTCATCTTCTGTTACCATCACACACCCGCTCCTTTCTGGCAAATTCCACTGGGAAGAGTTTTAAACCTTGATTTAGGCCCCCCTCGACAGTGTTGTTTTGGTATGACAAACGGCTGCTTCGCGCATAGGGCTGGAAGATGGCTTTCAATGTAAGACTGTGGAAATAAAGCCATGAGATCCATCTTGAGTGCTTCTAGGAAAGACAGGCCTACACATTCACTAGTAGTCTTGAGGATTTTCTTTTAAACAGAACATTATTGAAAAGCCTTTCCTTTCACATCACCTTGTTCCTCCCTGTCCCATGTGGTTTGGGCACCTCTTCCTCCAGCACACACAAATAATGGCAGCTAACCCCTTGCAGGCACCAGAAGCTCAGCAGCAAGGCTAAACAGTTCCTTAGGTGAGAAAATTGCCAAAGTTGACCAAATAGTGAGGCTTGCTTTGCCTCTGCTAAGAGCTGCCTGGTTGTGGTTGTGCTGTCATGTCCACGTTGGCTGACGATGGACATCTTCAGCTCACCATTGCCATAGCCAAGGGCTGACCAGTTTAGCTGGGTGCTCATACAAATGAGTATTCCCAAAGAGGAGTGGGGAGCTCAGAGGGTGATCAGCAGGCAAGGGATGTTTCCCTTGAAACCAAATGCCTTTGCTCTGTGAAGCACACTCCTGGGGCTTCAAATGGGAGCGCCATCCGCTCCACCTGCTTCTCCCTCCTCAGCCCATGACAGGATTTCCAGTGGTGTCTGTAGTAGCACAGCCACACCAGCAAATTCACAGTGGAGAGGCCAAAATATTGCTGCTCATCCATACACAGCTCAGTGCAGAGGTTCCAACAAAGCCCTGACATTATATACGTCTATATGAAAATGGTTTTCACGGACCCATAAATTAAGTTAGTTATTCCTTGTGTCTGTTGTAAATGAAAGGCTGGAACGGTACGTGCTAGCCCTTCCTCATCTTGCCTGGTAAATCAGAAGCAAATATTTAAAAATTAAATTATGCCATAATGGTAAAAAGAAGGCAGTATTTCAGGAAGATCTTCCTCTAGGTTTTGTGAAATGTTTCATTTTGGCTGAAAGCTTCTTGCAGGTCATTTATTTCAAAAGTTTTAGTCAGCTCCTTAGCCAGTTCTTGTTTAATTGCAATTAAATTTTCCTTCCTAAAAGTCTAGACTATGTTTTAGCCTCAGCTGATGTCCTACTTTCCAAAAGACATTCTCAATCCATATCTTTTTATTTATTTATTTATTTTACCAGCTCTACACCATTCAGCTCCAGTAGATAGCTTTTCTCATCTCCCCTTCAAGTGTAACTTATTAATAAATATTTATCCTACTGCAAGATCACACACTGTTCTGGCATAATCTGATGCTTATCCGAGCTGATGCTGCCTATAACCTAACTACAGGAACAAAAGGGAAAGGACGCATACTTAAATCCTAGCACAAAAATGCTTACTAGTCTTCTGCCACCAGGTGGGTCACTGAAAGAAAACGCAACCAAGGGTCTATTGAAAATAAGTAACAGTCACACTTGAAAAATGAGCTGGAGCAGGAGGAAAGGGCAGAACATAGGACAGGAAGACACTTTTTCTAACATGTACATGTCTAAGTCCTAGCCCTTGTATCTGCATCTTCTAAGCACTATTAGTATACCCATTCATGTTCCAGCAGCAAATTATTCTAAAATGTTCTGGCACTTAAACCTAACATAAAGATGGCAGAAACTGATAGAAAGACCTGTTTGTAAAAAGTCCAATCAAGTTTACATTTTAAATTGAAAACTACAAGCTCTCTTTACTATGTTTTCCATAACGACTCTGTCTACATTGTTCCCTACAATAACTTTACCACAGTTTCCCAGAGTATAAAACCAATAATTTTATGAAATTACTTATATTTTCAGGTTCAACTTTCATAGTCTGTAAGGTGGTAAAGATAAGGAGAAAGAGTATATTGTGAAATGCACATTCATGAAAGATGACCAAATACATGAGGCCTTCAGGCAGTAAGAATTAAGGATGTTATAAAGTCAAGAGTTCCTGTCAACAGAGAATACGTTTATAATGGAGATAGATATCTTAATACAATTCTGTGACCTCCACCAGCAAATCTTTCTGTGATTACACCATGGACAGATTTCCCTTTCTCCCCCTAGTAAACTCTAAATATCATATAATTTATTTGCAAAGATATTACAGCTGTTCACTGCATGTCTGTGAAAATAAAGGATTAATCACTGAGCAAATAGTGCAGTAATAAATGGCAGTAAATAGCTGCAGTACATTTGTCATGTGAAGTCCATTTCAGACCATCTGTTTTTGATCTTTTCTTGATATTAGAAGAGGATATCTTAATGAGAAAATACAGAAACTGATGAGATGATTTGGCTTTAGGAAATAATTCTAGCAACACATTTATTGGTGCTGCACAATATATAGCCAATCTGTTCACTGAAAAGCTTACTTATCAAATATTTCAATTTCTAATTTTTGCCTCTCCTCCCTCAGTGTTGTATAATGTTAGCAAAAGACTTTCCATGGGATGGATTGTATAGTTAAAAATATATCATTCCTTTAATGCAGCTTCTTATTAATTCTCTGTGGTAATATAGCCTCCATCCAATTCAACAATTGCATAATTTTCTCATATTGAAATGAGCTCTCAGGTGAATTCCAATATTTCCGTACCAATATATGTCCTGAAAAACTCCAAACTAAGGGACTGTAGACTAGTCAACATTAGAAGTCACAGAAGCAAATATTTTGATATGCACCTGATCCACTGTCTTTTGTGATACTACCTGCCAGCAGTTTTTTCTCTTTTCTTTGGTCCAGGCCACAAACCTCTCTGATATATTAATATCCATTTTGCTAATGTAGGAGATGATTTAAATGTCGTTTTTTTTTTTCTTTGCATCTAATCCATGCTGAAAACAAACAAAAAAGAGTTGAAAAATACAGAGGAGGAAGGTAGCTTCTGACAAGCACTGGAAAGGAGAGAAAGGAAGAAATGTGCACCCATAGGGAGATGGAGTGGAGCGGCGGTGTGACCAGCAAACTAAGAACACTACTTCTTGTGTATGTTACACGTGATGGCACTAATGCAGACAGAACCACGTTGCAAGCAAAACCTTCAAATACTTGCACCACTTTATTGGTAACTGCTATGTCAGCTTGTCTAGCATCTTCACCAACCTCCACTGGTAAACTGATACCAACTTCTCACATACCACATTGTAGGAAGAGCATAACGTAACTCGCTAGCACACTTCTGTGCCCACAGTTGATTTATGTGAATATTATGGTGGAGATTTAAGTACTGTCAAGCCGTCAACAGCTCCTGCAGCTGATTACAGGAACTGGACTGCAGGTAACAGCCGACCATCCGTGTATCTAACCAGAGGGACCAGGCTCACTTGAGACTACTGACAACATTAACGTACACCATTAGAGGGCAGAAGGGACACCTTTCCCTTTTTTTATAGGCTCTGTAACCTCCGGGGATAATTTTTACTTGTGGATGTCAACGGGAATTGATAGTCGCAGCCACATAAATACACAATGGGCTTCCCACTTGGGGTCTTATAATAAATGTTTTCGGGAATAACTACGAGACTTCAGAGAAGGGCTTGGGCTGGAAGGGGCCCTTAAGACCATCCAGTCCCAGCCCCAACCGCAGAGGCGCCCCGGCCCCCGCAGCGCCCCCTCCACCCCCCTGGTCCTGGCACGAAGCCCCCCGCCCCAACATGGCGGCGTGGTGCAGGGGCACAGCCCCCTCCCTGCGCATGCGCCGCCCTGGGGCGGGGCAGCACGGGGGCTGCGGGCCAGTGAGGGGGGGGGTGAGGGGGGGCGGGGCCGTGCGCCGTGACGCAACGCGTCGCTGGGCGGGCGGAAGCGGCGCGAGCGGCTCCGTCAGGTGGGCGCGGGGGGGAGCGGAGCGAGCGCGCGCGGCGGCCGTTAGGTGACCGTTGGGCGGCCGTTGGGCTGAGGGGGGTCCTGTCGCCGCCACAGTGAGGCGGCGGGGCCCTGTGCTCGGGGAAAGGGGCGCGGGGAGGCCTCGTCCCGCTCGCTCTGGGGAGGTGGGAGGCCGGGGGGCTGCAGCCGGGCTGCGGCGGGCAGCGGAGCCCCGGCTGTCACCGCGCCTCGGCCCCCTCGCTTCGTTCGTGGTTCGTGCAGGTGCCTCGGGGCGGGGGGCTCTGCTGGCAGCTGGCTGAGCGCTGCCGTCCGCTGGGCAGCCCCGCTGCACGGTGCCCTTGGGTGGGGAAGGAGCAGCGAAAGAAAAAGGGGGTTTCTCGGGTGTTGTGCACCGGTAAATGCACGCACGTGATTAAATTCTTCTCTAAAGACCACTTTGTTTTACGAAGATGATTTTTAAGCTCTTAACCGTCTTGACTGTGGTAGTGCAGAGGTTTGTAACCTTTAACGTATTCTTATGTAGCAGCATACAGCATTCAGTAAGGTAGAAATGTGTCGTTCCCATTGCTTGTGTAGGTGTAACTACTGATGCTAGTTTCTGACAACGTCTATTGAATCTTATTTTTTTTATTTTCCAAGTGATCTGTTTTGAAATACCAAAGGAAGAATTGAAACATGTCGACCTAATATAACTTAAACAAATCTAGAACTCACTCAGGACTTCCAAAAATATTTTGTGGTTTCCTTCCTCTTTCCAGTGGCTCTTTTGTCATAACCTGTGACTGCAGTGACGCTGCAAGATTTATGTCTTTCTT